GTGGTTGAGTATCAGAGTGTTCCATCTCATTTCCCTTTGGGGTTGCTGTAGGTGATCTGGAAGTTTGGTTTTGAGACTTGTTTATGTGTCTTCTCATTTTGATGGGTGTGTGTGTGTGTTTACTGTTGGCACCTGTGCGAGTCACCTCCTTTGAGCTGGGAGCGGTGGAATGGCAGCCTGGAAGCCCCTTCCTCTGGGTTGGGAGCAGTAGAATGGCCAATAAACCATTATTTAAAGAATATCTCTTTGAAAGGTGGCAAATTATTGGCCTACATGAGGCCTTAGCTTGGACATATGGGGAGGTTTATCCAAGATTCATTTAACAGATTCAACCAATAGTCTATGAGTATTTTATCTCAAGGAAAATTAAAAATGATTATTTTATAGTCTTTACTAACAAACTAATGAGCCATCTGTGGATATGAGTAGGAATATCAGCCAGGTATTTCAAGCTCAGAGTTCCTAAGCATTCCTTAAAGTGGGGATGATGCCATGGCATGTGACACTCCTGGAGATGCCCCCAGAGCTTGGTCTTGAATGATGAATGGGCTTGGGGGAAAGAGGCAAAGCAGAGGAAGTCAAAGGGCAGAGAAATGGATCTGAGGAAGCCTAGGCAGGCTTGGAGAGCTCTGACTCCCAGTGGCTTAAGCTGGCTGGGATTCTCTGCTAATTCATGGCTATGACAGTTCAGTGGAGCTGGGGAGTGGGGGAAGGGCTGTCTCAGCAGAGGGCCTTTTTCTCCCTGAGTTTTGCATCTTGTCTTTCTATGTTGCTTAGCCTGCCCCAGACTTATTTTCTCCCATGTTGGTTCATTCAGCATTTGGAAAATTTGTAAAAAAAAAATCCTCCCAAACTCCAAGCCAAAACATAAAACTATTATATGTAGAATCCAATGAGTATCTTCTTTTGTTTTGGAAAAGGAAAGGCTATTTAGGTCACTGTGGACTTCCCACCTGTACTTCCCACCTGTACTTCAGTTTAGTAGAGAAGCAAGGGTAGAGTGAATTGCATGATATTTATGAGGTCATTTCTGACTAACTCATTTGGATTTAGCAGGGTGAAAAGGTATGACATCAACTGAGATTGTAGAAGAAGCGAATGAAGACAGACACTCAAGGAAAGGTAACCCTGGGTAGGGGATGGTGAAATTTTCTTCAAGATTATTCATGGCCTGGAGTTTCCTTTTCCAAGGTTGTGAATTCCAGATTTTGAGTTGAGAAAAAAGTTGCCAAACATCCTGCCTCATTCATTATCACATCTCTTAGCTGAATCTGGATAGTAACTCATAAAACTACTTCACAGCATTTTATACATAAATTAGACACATAACTCACAAGATGGTTGGAGGAACTTCAAGGTTTTCATTGAATCCACATGAAGTTCACTGTGTTCCTGAATAAATCCTACTCTACCAACAATGAAAATCAACAAATCATCATCACCATCATCATCACCATCATCACCATCATCACTATCATCATCATCATCACTATATTGTCACCACCACCACCATCACAATCATCCCAGCAGCAATAACCGACACCTAATGTATTCCTAAGACAAAGTGCAATTTACAAATGCATTCATCTGCATTATCCTACTTGCTCTTTTTCCTCTGCCTTCTAGCCAGGTGGAATGTATAAGAATTCTGTCAGGACACTCAGTCACCACCTGGTGTGAGCCAACCAAATTTGTAAAGTCCAGTTAATTACAACTTTACATGAGACTTCTTTTTGAGACTCCCCTTCTTGAACTTGGCTTGCACATTATAAATATAAGGGAGGCTACTGGTCCAAGGCATGAAAATAGCAAGGGTTGAAATACAGGTGTGAAGAAAATAATTTTACATGTGAGTATTAGTTTCTGAGTTTCTGTAGGGACAAAAGTTATCCAGCACAGAAATATGAAGGGGATTGCATGCACTTAACCAGATTTAAAACAATACCTTGAACAATTTTTTTAGGGAAAGATACTCTGATGCTAAAATCAAATATAAGGAGAGAAAGCCATTGTCCCCTTGTGGATTAACAGCAACAAAGCAAAAGTCAGCAGAACATGCCTGTCTTTATGAATTCATTATGATTACTTGGGGAAATGGACTGCTAAGTACTGGTTTCTCATGTGCACAAAGGTAGTTATTGCATGAGAACTACTAGAAGGTAAAAAAAAAAATCAAAGGCAAAAATGATAAAGATGAACTAAAGTAACCCACTAAATATCTGTGAATAGCAGAAGCCTTAGGATTGTTGTCCTGAGTTTCGGCTGCAAAGTACTTGTCTGCAATATTTTAAAGACTTAATAGAATTTTATTTTAAAGCCATGACATTAGCACAGTTAAGCCAATCAATGTTCTTTAATAGCCTTTTAAAGGTGCCTTTTTAATTGTGCTCTGTGGGAGGGAAAGGCACAGGAAGACTGGAAAACATCTAAAAATAGCTTAGTCAGATCTTTCAAAAATATTTGCAAGTGCAAATTTGTGGCTTGGTTTGATTGCTGTAGAACTGATGTTAAAGTGCAAGATCTAACGGGCTTATTCCTTAGTGAAAAAACAAAGATTTAACTCTTGTGTAGATTCATGCAGCTCGCCATCATTGCAAAGTATTTGGGATCTGTACAGGTTTCCTTTTAGGGCAGCATGAGGGTTGTGGTTTCTCTTAGAAGAGAAAAGGCTCTCTGCAGAACTCAGAAGACCCAGCGAACCCTCCTGACAAGGCGCCTTTTGTCTGAAGGATCATCAGTGACCACTTTGGTTTTGATTTTTATAGTTAGAATGTTCTCAAGCAACAGGATGAATAGCAAGAAGGGGCATTAACTTTTCAACTGGCTTGTTGGGATGATGCCTGTGTTATGCACACAATTATCACAACCTGTCTTTCTTTTCAACTGTCTTTTGTGTTATGCTTTACTGTTTAAAAATGATTTCATATATATTATCCTGTGGGGAGCCCCACAATAGCCATATAAGACAAGGATGTTATTATGAGTTTCTGTTTTATAGAGGTAGAAACTAAAGCTTGGAAATATGGAGAGGTTTACCCAAGGTTGGTTAAACAAATTCAACCAACATTTCACAAGTACTGTAAAATGCTTTATATATCCCAGGGCTTTTCAAAAATCATTCTTTCATGCTTGCTTCACCAGCACATATACAAAAATCATTCTTTCATAGTCCCTGCTAAGAAACTAGTAAGCTGGACATCTACCAACTCTTCTCATTTCTTCTCCAGCACTATTTCAAAATAATTGTGCTGTCTTTTTCATGGCATGTGGAATTATCTGAAGAATGTGCTTCTTTAAATTTTGTGGTAGTTTTTTTTTTTTTTTTTTTTGGGTACCGGGGATCGAACTCAGGACTTGCACTTGCACGGCAGGCGGTGGCATCACTGAGCTAAATCCCTGGCCTTTCTTTAAATTTTAAACCCAAGTATTTGTTGATTTGGAGTTATCAACAGAGCAATGTACAGATAGTTTGAGGGGGATGAATTAACTGATAGATGAGGTATTTGGTCTTGCTTTTAATTTTGATTATTTTCTTAAAGAGGAATAATGTGGGGAGTTTGTTTTACCAAGCTTTTCATTGTATTATTTCCTCACACAGCTGTGTACTGATGTATTGATACCGTATGCCCAGTCCTGGCCAGAGGCCATCAGTGGACACATTCCATGACACCAGCTGAGCAAGGTGAAGAGACAGACTGGAGATGAGGGTCAGTGCTTGTGAAGTAGGCTGCCATGGGCATTTATGGTTAGGCTGGGACCACACTAGGAGATTTCAGTGCCTTTGTACCTGACTATTTCTGTTAGCAAGTGACATGCTTGATGGTTGTTTTTCCTAATTTCTTACAGAAAAGATACTTTTGAAAAACTCTAAATTTCTCTATGTTAAGCTTCCAGGAACAGCCTTCCTGTCCCCATCTTGTGAGTTTTAATTCAGGATTCTTAACAAAAAATAGGAACCAGAAAGGGGCAGTGACCATCAGGAATGGTACAATACTCCAACCAAGGAAAGACTTTGTATTAAGGCAGTAGACTTGGATGCTGTCTCACAGACCTGGACTGCTACATTAGCTCTACTGTATGATCCTTAGGCACTCAACCCTTCTGGGACTCAGTTTTCTTAAAATACAATTGACCTGATAATGCCTGTATTAATGGGCTGCTTTAACAATTACATGAAATAATAATATGTGAAGGAGTGGGCAGAGTATATGGTATACTGCAGGTACCCAATCATGGTAGCAGCAGATACTGCTAGCAGTGGATAGAAAACTTCAGACCTTGATCAACAAAGCCACAGTTAGAAACTCCTGCCTCAAGTGTTGCAGCTGAAGATGTTGGCACTGTTTCCTAGGTACTACAAGGACTATACTAATGACCTTTTTAGATTGGCTTACTCTGGAGGCTACACTGGACACTAGAATTTTAGATTCCAGATATGTTATCAGTTGTAATTCAAATGTTCAGCCACTGTGGTGAAATACTTAATTTTCTGAACTTCCTTTTGCCCTGTGCTAAATAAGAATTGAACTATGTCTTAGTCAAATCAAAGTGGTAGAACCATCGAATGATTCAAGCTACTGATCTGTGAATGATTTCTCATGCGTCTTTTCTGTTCCTTTGTCCCTGTCCTGACATCCTGACATAAGTGCTCTCTCTCTCTTTCAATAAATGTTTTAGAATAATAAAGACACAACTGGAGTCCATGCACCTCCTTGTTCATTTATTCAAGGGACTTTTCTGAGCAACTATTACATGTTAGGCACTGAGGTATTTAGGGAAGTGCTTGGGTTCCCATAGGCATTGTAATGGACAGCAGATGAGTCATGAGTTCATGTATGATCTGGCAGCCCATGAACTTTGTAAGTGGAAACAGTGGGTCAGAGAGCAAAAAGGCAAAGTCTATCCCTGCTTAGAATGATGCTCTGTGGTCTGGGAACCTCATTATTAACAAGTTGCAGACTTACTGGAGAGTGTTCAGAGAAAAGCAATAAGGATGATAAATGGGCGGAAAGACTGATTTATGAAGACTTACACAACAAAATATGTATTCTTGGATCAACAAAGACTTCAGAAGAAATGTGATCACTATCAACAACTCTCTGAAGGTTGTGAATACCCCAGAGGATATGCAGTGCTTAACCTGATATTTGAAATGTTGACAAGGAATAGGAGGTTGGAAAATTTTTACCTGTGGATCAGAGAAATGAGGCCAGTAAATCTACCTAGGTCTAATTGACAGAAAGTAGCTTCGAAGGACAATATCCTTAACCCATTTTACCTCCTATCTCTATTTCTGCAATTGTAATTATGTATAACCATTTGTTTTCTGTTTATGCTCCATGATTTTATGTGTTTCCTATTTATATATACTTTCCCTAAAGATGTCAAGAATGAAATATTCGATTTTTTACCTTTCACTTCAAAGACTTGAAGATAAAAGGAGTCAAGTTTGACCAAACTATTTTTAAACCAAAGTTTGTATGCTTAACCTTTTTTAAAGGTCATTATCATAATAAAGGATTTTATTCTTATAGAAAGCTAAATGGGTAAGAAAATCAAAAGTTTTACCTACAATACATATAAAGCTTTCAAAATGAAAAAAAATCAATTTAAAGGCAAATCTAATTCCATACAAATTTCTGAATTCCTTCAAGAGGAGCTACCTTTATAATAGGGGAAGTCTAATACTTCAAATGAATAACTTTATGTCTTAGTTTCTTTTCTCTCATTGCTGAGACAAAATGCCCGACACCTAAAGTTAAAGGGGAAAGGACTTTTTTAGCTCACAGTTTGTAGAGGTTTTAGTCCATAATTGGCTGGCTCCAAATCAGAGTGGCACATGGCAGAGGGGTGTCACAGAGGAGACAGTTTATGGTGCTCACATGATAGCAAAACCAACAAAGGACCTTAACAGCATCTTTCTGCCCCTTTTATCTTATTCAGACTATTTAGGGTAGGTAGCACTCATGCTCTTTTTTTTTTTTTTTTGCATTTTATTAAATTCTTTTATTGGTACATTGTAGGTATACAACACAATTACATTTCTCATTGGGAATTGTACCTTTACATAATG